GAGAGATGAATTCGGTATCATCGTGTACATGCGCCATTAGTACACCCTAAAGTTTAAGTTTAGCCATAAGCGAGAATGGATTAAGGAAATAAAACAAGTGCTCAATCATGGTTAAATACCTTGAAACCACCGAACCAACAATCTTCAATATTATCAAGCAAATTTTTCATTCTCTCATCCAGTTGTTTCCTTTCTTTCCACCACTTTAGTTTTTCCTGTTTTGTCTGATAATCCTTGCCAGCTCGCATACTTTGATTACTTAGCTCCAATATTTCCTTGAATTCTCCAATTGCGTCGTCATATGAGAAACTCTCAGTATCTCCTTCTCTACTGGATTGACGTTTCAGAGGCAACCTAAGTAATAGAGGCATTGTTTTTTGGCGATATCGACAAACATACATATCATTTGTCTCAATATCAATCGAAATTGAACATACAGTCCAGTTGCAAGGTAAAATGTCGGAAAACTCGGGAAGAAACTTATCGTATGTCAATAATCTCTCGTTTTTATATTTATCCGACAAAGTTTTCATAAATTCCATGCGCAACATTGTTTCTTCATCGAAGATCTCAGTTTCTTTTGATGCCCGAATATCATCAGAACTTGATGAATTTGTGAATTGCGGTGGCCATTGCGTATCATTATATAACAACGATGGTTTTAATTTCGCATTTAATGCGGAGACCATTTCTCTTTTTGCAGTTAGAGCTTTCGTCATCTCTAAACAATCGATAACGCACATTAGATCACGATTCACGTATGAAATACAAGTGCTAATATTTTACCTAAGTAAAAGCAGCAAATAGAAACTATTTTAATTTGATCAACATTGCTTTGATTTTGCCCATATATTTTAATCATGTGTGCCATCGCAATGCATAATCCGACTTCCTGCAAAATTTGAGTTGGGCCACATTCGTAGATAAGATCGTAGGCATCGGTGAGATAATCTACTGCTTTGTCAATTTCTTCCAGTAATTTTAGCGGTACATCTGTCTTTGACGATCGATTAATTTTTCGCGAATTTCTTTTCGTCAAAGGTAGGGATAAAACTAATTAAAAGTATTGAAATGAATAATTAATAAGACGACTCGCTATTAACTCTGAAATATTCCAATATTTGCAGTAAATACCAGAGTCTTGAGCATTATCGAACACCAAACGATTCTGCTTGATAAGCGCACTAGAAATCTTCATAATCTGAATTTTACTCAACAAAAGAAGATATTCTGCCTTTGAACGGAGGCAATTGTGTCAGCCATTCTGGTGTGCAATCAAGTTTGAAAGTTTATATGAACATATATACTGACCTTTTCTAAACATGAGTGAGTCGAAATTCTTCCAAGTTCGATCAACTTGAGACCCTCTTCTATATTTCCTCTTTTGCTTACCAACCAGCCTATTTATTGAGATAGCACGCGGTTAATTCCGCGCAAAACATAATCTATAATTACATATCATGAGAAAAACCTTGTCGACGATGCAATTCAGATTTCATTTGTGAAAGTAAGATGCATTCAAATTGTATGGGGTCTGTTTGCAAATTTAATAGTCAATTGGATGTGCATTGAGCGAACAATAATAAAATGACAAAGAGTATTGGTACGCGTTAAGACTTCATTAATAAAAAGACTTACCCTCATTCGACTCTCTGGAGTTTGGTGTTGACGTCAGATTCGAAACAAATTTCCTGCCTCTAGGCGTTTGAAACACACTAATAAAAAGATAAATAGAAGATAACCACATTTAATAATGATCTATATGTAATGAAACTAGATTGACCGTCTTACTTGGAGTCGATCTGCTCGATTTTTGATATGAATTCATCTTTCATAATTTCACTTAAAATTTCGTTGGCATGTTGATAAGAATTTATTGCCGAATCGTAACATTGGGCTTGATATTCCAAATCACCTTGTCTACACTTGAAATCTCCTTCGTAACGTTTAAAATCCCCTAAGCACAATTTCACCTTTGCAGCTTCTTTTAGGAACACTTGCACCTTGAGGCATTTGTAGATAATAAAATGTATAGTTACATTCCCCATGGTTAAAAGAATACGCATATAAAAGTGATAAAACTATTTACCTTTTGTTGATACTCTGATACTTTTGACAACTTATCTTCGCTTTCCTTCCAACAATGTCTTCGATATTCCAGTTCTGCGATATTAAGTAAGAAGTGAATAGTGGTCGGTTTCGCTCTCACAGCATCGATCAGTAACAAAGCTTGTTTGAACATATATTCAGCCTCCTTGACACAACCGCGCAATATATGGAGTCGACCGAGTTTGTTATAACAATCAAGTAGTTTCTATTACATTTAAATTTCTTAAGTATTAACAATTATGATAATGTACAAAACTACAAAAGATAATAATACCTGTGACACCCGCCATTTCCACCGTTGGGCCGATAAAGTTAAAAATTCATCGAAAAGGGTTTCTTTTGACTTATCCCTCTGATTGTCGGTCGACACTCGTTCTTCAAGAAATGGATTGGTTTCGATGACGGACCGATCGGGAACATTCCTTGAATTCCGGTCTATATTTTTCATAAGTCTGTTAAATACTCGGAGAGATTCTGTACAAGACTCTATGGCATCTTCTAGATAGCCCTATAAAAACGAATAATAAATTGTAAGTAGCTAATACACAATGAATGAATAGACAATAGAAAAAAGACGACAAATAATTATTTACAAATATTTACTAGACATATTGCAATGGAAGAACGTGTCAAATAGGCCTCAGCTAATAATAACTGCTCGTGCTTTCTATTTCTGGGGTTAAGCTGAACATTACGAGATTCTGCTACGGTCATTGTTTTATTAAATATTATGTAACTAGAAGTTTATGTATGATCATTTAGCCATTACCATTTAATAATAGAAAATAAAATTAAACGAATCAAGGCTTCGCGGCAACAAACCTTTTCTCCATGTTTCCAATCATGCATAGATAATAACTATATCCTAACATCCATGACAATTTTACATTATCCGTACACCTATGTGATCCCAGAAAATTTTCAGCTCGTGAAAAAGCCAACCCTGCTTTTCCGGTATAGCCGAGGAACAAGTAGATTTTACCGATCTGAGTGTACAGAGAGACCGACTCTACAAATAATTAGATTAAGTATTCACGAATGACAAAAATAACCAAGAAATAAAATAAAAAAAAATAACCTGAGGGTAAATCATTCGTGTCGCTTCTTATTCCACTATTGATTTTCAACATCAATTTCAATGTTAGAATTTGATTAATTGGTTGATCAAAGAGCGCAAAATAATCTGCAAGCATTTCTGTCAAAAGTTACAATAATCATAGTCAAGAAAATAAAAAATGTTCAAGAACTATAACGGTCGGTGCCTGATAAAGGATACGTAGGTGTCCATAAAATCTTTCCACGTCATCTATGTTTTTTTGTGCGTTTTCTATGTGAGACTGTGAAGCAAATTTATCGCCAAGATGTGAAGGGACGCCTACGAGAATTCCTTTCCACATGGACAATGCACGCTTGAATGATTCGGACGTACAACTTTCAGATTCAAAAGTAAGAATGCCCATCCAAGAATAAGCGGTCGCTAAGTAGTAAGAACGGAGATGTACTAAATCTAAATCCTGTCCTAAACACTGGATTATAGAAAATGTTGATTTGCTATTAAAAAATAGATTTCAGAATTAGCAGATATGATAAGGTAAAAATGTTTTAGATGGAATACATCGGTTTTTAAAAGGTCCAGCGCTTCCTCAACTAGTTCTACGGCTGTTTTCCCTGAACCTATTTTTTTATAACTCGTGATTTTTGATTCTTCGATGAGTACCCTGTATTTTAGGTTAGGAAAATTCATAACGTTATCAAATTAAATATATATGGTCTATCGTGACTGAATTCAATCATACCTAGCCCTGCGAATTGGAAAATTCACTCCATCATACCACTCCAGTAACTTTTCGTATATCACCAACTCTATGTTTGAACTGTCTAATCTATCATCAAATGACTTTAGCACGCGTAGTTCAAATTCAAATAACCCTGCTAAGATAATGCCATCAAATCCACAGTCCAGCAAAACTTCGTGTACAGGAAAAAATTCTTCATCCGGGCAAACAATCGATGTTAATTTAACGTAACGTTCGATTAACTTTGGAATTATCGGTGCCTGCTGAGAAACAGAATGAACGCCCTGGGAAGATACTAATTTCGCGAATTTTAAAAATTCCGTTCTCGGAAGATTTTTCAAGGATTTTTCAAAAGCATCACGAGCATTCTTCAATGAAGCAGAAATCATGAAAAATATAATTTATGAATAAACGATTTCACAAATCACTATCTGGTCGAAATGTATTTCACATACCCTAACTTCGCCCAATAGATTCCAACAGATTCCCAAGACTTCAAATCTTTTGCTTAACTGTGCACGAATTTCCTCTATATCTTTTTCAGATGAACTTTCGACCTGTTGTAATTCGTGCATATATCGATCCAAAATTTCACACGACTTTAACACGGGATCAATAGCAACTCTGATTTGATTATCATTATAATAATAGACTCCTATGCGATAGTACGAGTTCGAAATCGTACGAAGTCCTTCTATACAAGATGTATACTGAGCAATCTGAAGCGCTCGTTCTATGTAGCGGTAACATTTGTTTGGCGATTGTAACTCAAAGAACGGAGAGGCAAGTCTGGAAAGTAGATCATTCGTATCTATCGACACTAGTGAAATTCTATCAGGATGTAACAAATATTCCTGTTCTTTACCATTCAAATAATAATCCTAAAAATAGACAGTGAGTGAGTGGTGATTAATGTCCAACGTCTATCGATGCATATCCTAGTACAGTGCTTCTGTACCTTATATTCACTAAAATATTCTATGCACACGCTGGTTAAGCATAGAGTAATTTCTTGTGTAAATTCTTCAATCATTTTAAAAGTTGATTCTTTCGAATGCAAACTATGCAGTGTTTGTGATCGTTGTATCAAATTCAAGAAAAATGAATTCTCCATTTTAGAAATTCCTTTGACTTTATTTCTAAATGTGTCTTCCACGAGTTCAATTATTTTAATCAATGGTCGCCTCAGTAATTCTGCGGATTGAAAAAATTGTGAGATCATTCGAACTTTTTCACCAATCGGTCTATCCTCCTTCAAATTTTTCGAAAAATGGCTAAGAGCATTCCTTGTACTCTTTAGTCGAGATGTATGATCTGTTTCTGAAAACAATTGTAATGTAAACAAACATCTTGACAATTATGAGAAGCATATAATATAGTAAATGTACCATAATCAGCGATGAGCAATTCTTCCAAGACAAAGGATGCAACTCTTATTTTAAGAGCGATAAGCTGTGCACTAATTGCTTCCGGTATGTTTTTCTTTGACAAGTAGCAAATTATTTTTTCGTGCATGATAATATTTTTCGCGTAGCCATTGACCTATTTTGCACAATACGCAATCAGGAATTTAATACACAACAAAGCATTAAAATTCTTGTTAGCTATTTACCATCCGAGCAACGCGTGAAAAATGGTCAAGCCATTTAAAAAATTTTAAATTCTGGATAGCCAAGTATATATGTTCTTCGAGGATATTAGCCATTTCTTCATGAAAAGCAAATATTTCACGATAATTGACCGGACTTCCTGAAATTTTAAATTAATTAAATAAAATTAACGCATTTATATCATATTCCGTATCTTTTTAAGTAGCTTACCATTATTAGTCATTGTTTTCTCACATTGTATGGCAGAATTTAGAATATAATCCAATAAAGAGGACAGGTCAAAACGATTGGTCAATGTGAATGCCTTTATTGAAACGGCTCGAAATCTTAAGATATCCGTGGACGCGTCCGCTTGAAGAAAAATGGTTAGATTCATCCGATTTGATAGTAAGAAACGATACATGTACATCTTTTAATCAATTACTTGTCAGATTTTGAAGTTTCCCACAAATCCTCGAAATAACGCGCATTAATGCTTCCAAGTGGGAGCTCACGAGGATTGAATCGTCATCTTTCATAGCATACGCCCAAAATATAGGGTTTCCATTATCTTTCAGCAATTTGGGTAAAATCTTGTAAAAAAATAAATTAAATTAAATCATAATTACAATAAATTAAAATTGCATTATGACTAAACCACATTATCAAATTAAATTTAGTCAGATAATTTCACTTACATTTATAAATTGCATGCCCTCCAATTCCACAAAGCACCGTATCGCACACACTAGGTTCGACAAAACCAATAATTTTGCTTCCGGATTAATGGTATCATTATTTTCCGGAATGGGAAATACGCAAAGCTCAGAATAAATATGTTTCAAATCTTTAGTTGCCTTAAGATTTTCCGAGTTTTTTGTGAATTTTGAATCTTTGACCACGGCAGTACCAATATTATTTTTCAAAGGACGGCGCGTTCCGTTCTGGGAGCGATATGAGTTGATAATTGGTCTCATTCCAAAGTAAATGGATAGACGTGAACGTAGCTTTATTAGTGGCTCAATCGCCTCTCTGTACTGATTTTAATTTAGCAATATAAGAGTTCTAGCATTTTCATAAAACAAAACTGTTCGTAATTTAAAATTTAACATTTGAGAGGAAAGAAGTATTACCAAACTGAAATCTAACATTTTCTTAATTAAATTCAAAAGCGCCTTTTCGAGGTCGAGAGGTTTTAAATTCAACTTTTTCTCGAAGAGTTCCAAATCACAAATGGCTTTAAGCGTCGTTTCGATTAAACGTTGTGATTCTATAGGCGTTAATGTGTTTTCCTGATCTACATTTTGCGCTGATTCTTTGTTAACTCTCTGTTTATTTAGAAATTCCTCTTGCTTTTTTGAAAATTTTGATAATATTTGCAAGTTATTATTTATAGTGCGCATCGAAACGGAAAGTTTGGTCGTCGTTAAATGTGTCTTGTTATCTTCATTACTAATATTTTTTGCTTTCGTTCTTCGCTGTGCCATTTTTCGTTCACAAGAAACGCGTATTGCGATGCCTGATACGTAAACAAATTAATTTTTATTATCCGACCAATGGTCAATTGATCATGCAGTTACGTCACGATCTTTACCATTACTACTATATACAGTAATTTATTTTCAACTATTAGTTTATACAATTTCTAAAAAAATAAATAAATTTATTATTATTATTTTAATAGGTAAATATTATTGCTTTATTATAATTGCAAAATTGAAAATTTTTTACATGAAGAAAATAATAACATTTCTCACATAACCAATTGATTAATAAGTTTAATACTAGCCTACCTATGATAAACTATCTAAGTTGTAAAGAAAAAAAATTATTAAAACCAATATATTGTTAAAGATAGTGTCAAAAAGTTATAAGAACTTACTTAGATTTATATATAAAAAGATTATAAGAAGTAAATATTGAAAAAAAAAAAAAAATACTAAGCAAAAAGATAAATACAAAAAAATTAATTGTAAAATTAAAAATATTTTAAAGAAGTGTATTACTTTAATGGTTTTATTTAATTAAAGTGCAGTGTATATGCACTTATTACAAATGATCAGGCTACTGTTCAAAGTATATAATTGTATTGGTGATATATTTCTTTGAAAATTATTTAGTTATAGTAATTGTATTATTATTGTGTTAATATAATTAGTAATTGTCTTTAAATGTCCTGAAACCTCAGAAAAGGCCAGTCAAATCATATAACATCAACCAAATTCTTCATCCAGACAAAAATTCCAAACCAATATCTCACATATGGCAAGTCGTGGAACTGTCATGTGGCATCACCGATAAAATATTCTCCATAACAGATACTAACAACTGGGTTAAGGCGTCAACCGAATCCCTAACCCAACTGTATAATTCAATTTGAAAACCACGATGTAACACCGCCAACACCTCGCCCATTACAGGAATCAAATAGAAATCAAATGAACTACGGAACACCATCAACTCAACCAAATCAAAAAGAAACCACACCGCTTCTAGTGAAAACTCACACTCCAAGGATATCCAAAATGAAACCATCATAGACCTATCGACAATTGTTACTAACTCTTTTATTCAATGTAATTATAACTATAACAAATGTATTCAAAAATTAATCTCATCTCTT